AATCACCAACTTCTGTACTGGACCAGACGTTTAGGTCTGGGGTTAGAAAACCATGTTATACTATTCTCTTGGATAACAAGTGTGGACCCCTTTAGGGCAGGCAAAGTATGTGCCATTGGAGGCCAGGGCCCCAGGGTGTGTGTCTCTGCCCAATTACTTGGACTGGAGGTCCCGAGGTACGTGGGCTATTGGTGGTGGCATTGGAAAGTATGAGTTTGGTGAGCCCTACTCTCATGTTGGATAGTTTGCCCATACACACATCTGGCAGTTTTTGGCTAAGTCTGGGCTTGCCTGTTTTAAAAAGCACATAGCTGGAGTTTGCTAGTGCTAGGAGTTGGAGTATGGGCAAGTTCGAGGGTGAGGTAGGCAGCTGAGGCTGGAGATCTAGATGCTTTGGCTGTGGATTTGAAGAACGTAAAAAAATAATTATATATATATATATATATGTGTGTATACATATATATATATATAATTGACAGCACCTAACACCCATTTTTGCTTCTGTATGAATTGCTTTGTGCTAGATGGTTGTATGGTTTTTGTATGATTTTAACTGACTGGTTTTAGTTACTCAGTAGTGGAATGTCAGCCTGGGAGCCTAGAGTTGCTTAGTAAAAGACTTCAAAGGGTTTACAGCCCTGACCAAGGGGGCAAAGTCTTCAGAATTATCCCTACAGCTGCAACGCCCCTCCTGGAGGCCGAGGCAGTAAGGCCCTAGGGAAGAAATATAATGTTTTAAGAAACCTACGCAACTCCATTTTTGTTTAATACTCCATCTCAGTTCTGCGACTTGACTCGTGATCCATTTTAGCCCCAAAGCTAGGAATTTATGACAGAAAGCCATGCACAATTCTTGGGGTCATAGATGGCGTTTGCTTAAGGCAGGTGTTAGCCCCCAACTGTATTGCCCCCCACCCACCTAGGACTAAGAGTTTCTAACCAACCCATTCTTCAGAGCCTGGGGCGAGACATGCCATTCTGTTGGTCTGGGTGTGACTCGTAACCTTTTTTGGTCAAGCTATGGACCAAGGACATTTTTTCTGTAAAGATCGACCAATCATTATTTGCCCAGTTTAGCTTGCTTTAAATGTAAATGTTAACCAATCATGTAATTTCTTATGTAAAAGTTCCCTAAAGTTGTTTGTTCAATACTATAAAAACGGCCCTGATTCTATGCTCAGGGCCTCTTAGCGTCACCAGTTACCATGTGTGCGGAAGACCAAGCTCGAGCTTGCAATAAACCGGCTCTTTGTTGCTTATATTGATCATGGTCTCTGGGGGTCCCTGAATTTCGGTATAACAGGTTCCAAGGATCTAAAGGGTGATTTTTGCTTACAGAAACATTGGTAGGGATAGTAGTTGAAGGATTTGAAGGGAGGGCAAGGATAGATGGTAATAGGTACAGTTAAGCCACCAGCCAATCCTGAAACTCCGCTTTCACCATGTACTTGAGGAGGAAATGATCAGTTCCCACAGTATGCCTCCTTTAGTTGTATCTCCCTCTGTCTCTCTAGAGAAGAAACCCCTTGTCCTGACGCTGGGGATCCTAGGAAGCTCCTTGAGAAGCAAAACACACACAGGACCAGTATTTGAGAAATGCCCGGGAAGGGCCTCCCACATTCGTTCCAAAGTTATGGCACATGTCCATAGGCTGCGATATTTTTCGGATCATCTTCACCGAAGTTCATTCTGTCTGGGGTGAGACAGGGCTATGGTTCCTCAGTTCCTAAATGTTCACAACACAATTGAGAGGGAGGGATGAATCTGAACCTTTCCTCTAGACAAGCCCCTGCACTGGACCTACAATGTTGGAAGGAAAAGTACAGGGTCCCGGTGTGGGTGGGGGAGGGGGGAGAAGGGGGAAGAGGTTGCCTTGGTAGCATTTCTTCTAACCCAGGACAGTGAGTCCCGAGGTCAGAGTGCCTGACCAAACCAGTTTCTAGGCTGTGTTAGAGTGTGGAATCCAAAGAATAAAAAAGCCGTTGCAAAGGTCATGGTGATAAGGCTCAAGGGCAGGGGATCTTAGAGGCAGAAAGCTTTAGGAGAGCTTTGGGAAGGTGATGTGAAAAGCTATTTCCACCCCAGACCTGTAATGGTTGGGATTAGTCCCAGGAGGAAGGTAAGGGAAGTTGCTGTTTTGATGAAAAAAGGGAGGGCCTCTTCCTCCCTGCTGCTGTTAAAAACTGTAAAAGCGGGCTGGGAAGGTGGCTCAGTGGTAGAGTGCTTGCCTTGCATGCATGAGGCCCTTGGGTTCAATTCCTTAGCACCACATAAGCAAAAAAGAAAAAAGCCGGAAGTGGTGCTGTGGCTCAAGTGGTAGAGCGCTAGCCTTGAGCTGAAGAGCTGAGGGACAGCGCCCAGGCCCAGAGTTCAGGCCCCACAACCGGACCCAAAAAAAAAAAAAAAAAAAAAAAAACTGTAAAAGCAAGTCTAGAAGCTCATTCTGGGGGTGGGTGGGGTAGAAGGCCCCTTTTCCAGGCGTTGTAATTTTTTTTTCTTATGTTAGGTGTGCACTGGCTCATAAAAGGAGATGAAGGAATAGGGTCCCCTTTGTGCACTCAATATTAATATTAGCATACTGAGTGATGGCTTCTGAGAGGCAGTTGAGGAAGAGGGCAGGGTTTTCACCCGGGCCTTAAGTGATTGCATTAAGTTTTTGATAATTAACTCTCAAGTGAGCATTTTGTAGCTTCCCCCCCCGCCCCCCAGGGCTGAGGACTGAACCCAGGGCCTTGCACACGCCGGGCAGGCACCCTTCCGCTGGGCTAAACCCCCAGCCCCTAAGTGAGCATTTTGATGCATGCCCTCTGCCAGGCAGGTTACCATGAACTCAAGGCATTCAGAACTACTGGCATTGTTCTGATAATTCCAGTGGTGGTCAGTTGTAGGGACAGTGTCTATTCCCGATGGGGAGTGGGCATTTTCCTCATTTAGCCTATTGGCATAAGTCCTGGTTGACTTAAAAATGTGCTTTCTCATCTGGTGTTAGGATCCAGTTAAGAATGTGTTAAAATATCACATTAGGTGAGAGAGTACAATTGGGCAATCCTGGTAAACTTCTTTTTTTTTTTTGGGGGGTCCAGTCGTGGGGCCTGAACTCTGGGGCTGGGCGCTGTCCCTCAGCTCTTCAGCTCAAGGGTAGCGCTCTACCACTTGAGCCACAGCGCCATTTCTGGCTTTTTTCTTTTTGCTTATGTGGTGCTGAGGAATCAAACCCAGGGCCTCAGGCATGCAAGGCAAGCGCTCTACCACTGAGCCACCTTCCCAGCCCGGTAAACTGTTCTTTATAATGGAGAGGATTGCTTGAAAATGACTCCGATCTCTGTTCAATAGAATCCATCTCGTTTAGGGTGAAAGGAACATGGACTCACAGAGGGGAAACGAGCCATTTTAGAGCGAGTGACAAGTGGCAATGGAATGGGGTAGAGGAGGGTGGAGCAGGGTGGAGGGAGGAGCTGAAATGGAGGGTAATTGGGAGGTGGAGGATGGAGGCTCTGGAGGTTGGTGGGCCTCAGGAATGGGGCAGAGTGAGTGGAAGGGGAAGGATGAGATGGGTAAGGAGGAGGTGCGTTGGCAGGGTTGAAGTTCAGAAGGCTAGGTGAAGGTAGAGGCCATTTGGGCAGTATTTTATCCTTTGAGGAGGGCAAGCCACAAAGGAGAATTTAGGAGGGAGGACCCAACAAATAGAGGACAAAGGCGTGAGCATATGGTACCTTGGACTCCCTACCTTTTTGTCGGAGAAAGTTGTTTAAATCAGTAAGAATATTAATATGGAAGGTTCTGAATCCAGGCCAGTAGTGGCCATTGTCTAAAGGATAGTGGGGCCAGATTTTGGTAGACAAACGAGTCTTTTTTTTTTTTTTGGCCAGTCCTGGCATTTGAACTCAGGGCCTGGGCTCCACGCTAGCACTCTACCCCTTGAGCCACAGTGCCACTTCTGCCTTTTTCTGTGTATGAGGTACTGAGGAATTGAACCCCGGGCTTCATGCATACAAGGTGAGCACTCTACCACTGAGCCACATCCCTTTTTTTTTTTTTTTAACTATAAATCAGTCAGTCCAAGTCTTAAGACTGGAGGGAAGCCAATGGGGTGTCTCTAGAAACAGATAATTTGGAGCCCATTTTGAAAATTTGGTAGTACTACAGAATGACCTGTCCTGCCACTTTCAGGCATCCCCAAGGCTTTGGGAAGGCAAATGGATGCATCCCATATTGGGATGATGGATCCCAATAATTAGGAGAGGGGAAGGCAAATGGATGCATCCCATATTGGGATGATAGATCCCAATAATTAGGAGAGGGTATCACCCAAAGTCCTAATTAAAAAGTGTCAGGCTCCAGGAAAGTTAGAATGTGTTTGTGACTTTAACTGAGCATCACTATCCCATAATACTGTGAAATTTGGGAAATTATGTAAACCATTTAATCACAAAAAATTTGAAAAAAAAAAAAAGAGTGTCAGGGGGTCAGCAAGTGAGAAACTTTTGGAATCTCTGGGGACTCCTGGCACCCCCAGGTCTGTGTCTATGGCACCTCTGCCACAGACTGTGGCTGCTTGCCCTTTTCCTGAAGGCTTTTAGATGGTGGGTGAAGTCGGTTACCAAATACAAAGAGCCTCCTGCCTAGAGATCAAGAGTCCGGGGGACAGGGTGAGGGAGAGAGAATAGGGGGAGAGAAAAGGCCTTTTCTGGGTTTACAAAGGAGCCAATAATACCTCAAGCCACATGGAGTGACTGTCCATGAAGCATGTACCACTTACATAGATAAAGGCCACAAGGTCATTCAGGCGGCTATTTAGCCCAAAGTAAGCTCAGAGTGCTCTGTGCTCCGGATGGAGAAAGGCCTGGGAAGGAGAAGGAGGTAACAGAAAGGCTTGATGAGAGGTGGTAAGGAGGCCAGTAGCCCCTCAGTGAAGGGGACCCAGTTACTCCTGGAGCTTTTCCTTTCCTGGGTTTTAGCACCAAATGTTAGGAAAATGCAGAACGGAAAAGGAATAGGACTGTTTATTGCCAGCGAGGGCACAGACCTTTCCATGGTATGTGAGGGACTGGTTTTGAGGTGGGCTAGTAGAAGAAAAAAAAATTAAAAATGACCTATGGTTTCTTTGGGGCCAAAGGTGGTATCCTTGGCCTGGCCCAGAGTGAATGCTCTATCTATGGTAAGAGGCTCTTGTCTCCTGGGGGCCAAGGTCAGAATGACCTGCTTGTGGACAAGCACATAAGCATGCATTTGGTGCTTTACTAGATTGGGCAGGAGTCAATCCTTCAATAAGTTTGTTTCGTTTTGTCCTTGGAAACAGACCATGATTTAGAGGAGACACACAATGTGGTCAAGAATATGGAGTCATTTAGAAATGATAGGACAAATTAAGTAAAGGTCCTTTGTTTCTTGAGTCCTGTTTACTTTGTCATATCTCCTTGCATTTTGGATTTCACATCCACATATCAGGCTGACCATGTGCCATTTGCCTCTCTGGTCTTGACTTACCTTGCTCAAAATGATTTGTTCTAGTTCTATCCATTTCCCTGCGAATGCTATTATTTTGTCCTTTCTAATGGCTGCATAATATTCCATTGTATATAGATACCACAATTTTTGGATCCATTCATCTGTAATGGGGCATCTGGGTTGTTTCCTTATCTTGGCTATTGTGAACAGGGCAGCAATGAACATGAAGGTGCATGTGTCCTTGTATCCTGGTTCCTGTTGCTCAGGGTAGATGCCTGAGTGGTATGGCTGGGTTATAGGGGAGGTCTATATTTATTTTTCTGAGGTAACTCCAGACTATTTTCCAAAGTGTTTGTATTAGTGTACATTCCCACCAGCAATGCAATAGGGTTCCTTTTTCTCCACATCCCTGCCAGCATTTATCATTGGCTGAATTTAGGATGTGGGCCATTCTGACTGGGGTAAGGTGGTATCTCAGGATTGTTTTTATTTGCATTTCCTTTACAGCTGGAGATAACGAGAACATGTGTTGCTTTGCTATTTTTATCTCTTCTTCTGAGAAGTCTCTCTTTAGTTCCTTGCCCATTTAATGATTGGTTTGTTAGAATTGGGAGGGATTAGTTTTTGGGTTCCTTGTATATAATGGATATTAGGCCCTTGTCTAATATATTTCTGGTAAATATTTTTTTCCCAATTGGTTGACTGTCTTTCTAGTTTGGCATCTATGTTTTTGTCTGTGTAGAAACTTTTTTTTTTGGTCCGGTCATAGGTCCTGAACTCTGGGCCCGTCTGTGTAGAAACTTTTTAAGGTAGTCCCATTTGTCAAGTCTCTCTCCAATTTGTTGTGACCCTGGGACTTTGTTCAGGAAGTTCCTGCCTGTGCCTATAAGTTCAAGTGTCTCTCCTACTCTGTCCTGCAGTAGTTTCAGAGTTTCAGGTTTGATTAAGGTCTTATCCAGGGGCTGGGAAGGTGGCTCAGTGGTAGAGTGCTTGCCTTGCATGCATGAGGCCCTGGGTTCGATTCCTCAGCACCACATAAGCAGAAAAAGTCAGAAGTGGCGCTGTGGCTCAAGTGGTAGAGTGCTAGCCTTGAGCTGAAGAGCTGAGGGACAGCGTCCAGGCCCAAAGGTCAGGCCCCACGACTGGCAAAAAAAAAAAAAAAAAGGTCTTATCCATTTTGAGTTGATGTTAGTGCATGGTGACACTGTGGGCTTATTTATTTATTTATTTTTGCCAGTCTTGTAGCTTGAACTCTGGGCCTGGGCGCTGTCCCTCAGCTCTTCAGCTCACGGCTAGCGCTCTACCACTTGAGCCACAGCGCCACTTCCGGCTTTTTCTACTTATGTGGTGCTGAGGAATTGAACCCAGGGCCTCATGCATGCAAGGCAAGCACTCTACCACTGAGCCACCTTCCCAGCCCCATGTGGGTTTATTTTTAAAGTGTGTAGTGGTATGTGACTGTAGTTTCAACTACTCAGGAGGCTGAGACAGGAGGATCACTTTGCAACCCAACATATAGAGTTTTCCCTTGGGTGCAAAAGGCTGTACAATGGCACAACCAGACAGAAAGAAGAGCAAAGAAGAGCTGGGATATAGCTCAGTGGCAAAGCACTTGACCTAGCAAGTGCAAAATCCTGGGTTTAACCCCTAGTACCAGAAAAAGAAAAAAGAAAAAGAAATACAGTTAAAGAAAAGAAGAGTAAAGCTATTGCCTGCAGCAAGAAAGAGGAACACAGGAGCTAACTTCCAAGGAGACATTCATGCATATTCTACTTGGAATGACTCAGTGTCACCAGCAGCTGAGCTGGGCACATTCCTGAGCTTTCTCAGTTGGAGCTGCCTCCTACATTGCCAGTTCAAAACTGGTGGCTGGGAATGGAGCCTTCTGGGTGAAGAATTTAGTATTATTATAAGGAGCAAAATGGATTCTAGGTCAAGCTAAAAGTGAGTCAACATGACTCACTTTTATTTATTTATTTACTTACTTACTTACTTATTTATGGTTGGTCGCAGGGCTTGAACTCTGGGCTTGGGCGCTGTCCCTGTGCTCTTCAGCTCAAGGTGAGCACTCTTACAGCTTGAGTGACAGCTCCGCTTCCCATTTTCTAGTGGTTTACTAGAGATAAGAGTCTCATGGACTTTCCTGCCCGGGCTGGCTTTGAACCACAATCCTCAGTTCTCAGCCTCCTGAGTAGCTAGGATTACAGGCATGAGCCACCAGAGCCCGGCTTTGACTCACCTTTTAGTTGGTTCCTTATAGGTTTCTTCTAGGAGCCATATCTGAAACAAAAATGAAACAATGTAGAGGACACTTACCAGTTATTCAAAGAGATAGTAGCGGAACACCCCCCCCCCCCACCCATCTGTCTCTCTCTTTCTCGCAGGTGTGAATATACCTAAAAGTATTTGGTTGTCTTCTGGTACTACAATGCAATGGAAAAAACAAAGAAATTAACATGATAGTAGAATAAATTCAATGAAGTGTAGTAAAGTGGCTAGCTTGTATCATTCCTTACCTTAGTGAGAAAGCCTTTAGATTTTCCTCATTAAGTGTCACATGTTGACTTTGGGCTGATATATGTACATACTTCATCTTCTCAAGGAAATAGCCATTAACCTTATTTACAAGGCCTTTTAAAAATTAGGGGTGTTAGCCTGTAATCCCAGCCACTCAGGAAGCTGAGATCTGAAGATTTTAGTTTGAAGCCAACCCTGGGCAGAAAAGTCCTTGTGAGACTCTTATCTCCAATTAGCCACTCAAAAACTGAAAGTGGTGCTGTGGCTCGAGTGGTAGAGTGCTAGCCTTGAACACAAAGAGGCTCAGGGACAACACTTAGACCTTGAGTTCAAGCCCTACAACTGAAAAAAAAAAAAGAAAAGAAAAGAAAAGAAAAAAGGAATGTTAGACTCAGGCCTATAATCCTGGATACTCAGAAGGCTGAGGTCTGATCAGTTCCAAGCCATTCTGGGGAGGAAAGTCCATGAGACTCTTATCTCCAATAAACTACTCAGAAAAAGCTGGAAGTGATTGTGGCTCAAGTGGTAGTGCTAGCCTGAACCAAAAGCAGGTCAGGGACAGTGGCAAGGCTTTGAGTTCAAGCCTCTTTTGCCTCTAGGTTAAAGGCCACTCACATCAAACTCTGTACTTGATACTTTTACTCACTGGTTGGGGCTCTGCCAACTGATCCATGCCTCCAATCCCACCTATTTTCTTTATTTCTGTTCACTTGGTGCATATTATTATTAACTTGCCCAATATTTAGCCAACCCAAGGAAACAGCTTAGTTCCCATGTTTTATCCTTTTTTTTTGGGTCCAGTCGTGGGCCTTAACTCGGCCTGGGCGCTGTCCCTTAGCTCTTCAGCTCAAGACTAGTGCTCTACCACTTGAGCCACAGCGCCACTTCTAGCTTTTCTTTCTGCTTATGTGGTGCTGAGGAGTCGAACCCAGGGCCTCAGGCATGCAAGGCAAGCACTCTACCACTGAGCCACCTTACCAGCCCCCCATGTTTTATCTTTAAAATAGGATTCTGTTGACTAATACCTCGAAATTTTTGTATAAATATCCTCTAAAATTAATCTGAAAATTTCCTGTTTTGTGATTGTATTGTAGCTTGAGCTGAGTACCTCATGCTTTTGTTTAGCTTGATTGCTTACAGCTGATGCTCTACCATTTGCACCATGCCCCTAGTCCATCTTTTTGCTTGTTATTTTGAAGCTGGAGTCCCTCTGACTTTTCCAACTGGTCTGACTGAACTGTGATGGGATCTCAGCCTCCTCAATAGCTAAAATTACAAATCTGAGCCACAGACACTTGGTTTGGAAGGGTGATTTTTTTGTGTGTACATAATCTTTTATCACTTGACATAAATGACACTCTTGTTCCATGGACATATTTTGCAAATTCTATTTGTTTTTCTATGTTTGGAACAGTTTGAAAACAGGTTGGCATTCATTATATGTTATTTCAAAGTTTCCTATAACTTCTTTTATGATACTAGGTAGACTTTATATAGTGGGAGTGGGAGTTATTTTTATAAAGTTGGATAAAATAGTACCTTCTAGTTTTATTAAATTTCTGTTTTGGTCAGTTTCTCATTTGTCCATTTACTTCCTGGATATTTTTATCTGTCTATTTACTTATGGGGTAAGTAAATACTGGAGTTAGATTGAACCCAGGGCCTCCCACATGCTAGGAAAAACTCTACCATTTGAGCTCTCTCCTTCCACCCCCAACCCATCTATATAATTTCTAATAGGTATTTGTTAGATTTAACTAACTGAAGGCACATGCATGTAAAAAAGCCCTGAAGGTATTGCTACATTAGTTTTATATGGAATAGTGGTCATCTTTTGTCTTTTATTTATTTTTTTTTGGTCAGTCATGGGGCATGAACTCTGAGCCTGGGCATTGTCCCTGAGCTCTTCAGCTTACGGCTAGCACTCTACCACTTGAGCCACAGTGTCACTTCTGGCTTTTTCTGCTTATGTGGTACTGAGGAATCAAACCCAGGGCCTCATGCATGGGAGGCAAGCACTCTACCACTGAGCCACCTTCCCAGCCCCATCTTTTGGATTTTTAAATCTCCCT